AAAACATGGAATTTTGGCATAATCTTGCACCTAAGTGTCTGATATTCAAATTTCACTTTCTGGGTCAAAACTACTCGAATTTCCTCACTCACGTTATTATGACTGAATCGACTTTTCATACCTCTATCCAACGATGCCAAAAAAAATTCTGTGGCTCGAATGGTTCTTGAGAAACTTGGAAAAAAGCAGCGTCATGTTCAAGTGGACTTTGCAACTCAAAAAAAAACACGCAAATCTGAAACTTCTTGAATTCAAGCATTTTTTGAGAAAACTGCCAACAATTCCCCATCCATGGCTCATTTTCTAAAAAGGGCATTTATTTCTGTCTAGAATGATGTACAAATGAGCTGAGCAAATTCTTGCTCATTTTGCCTTCGAGATATGAGCAAAAACGGGACGGAAAACATGGAATTTTGGCATAATCTTGCACCTAAGTGTCTGATATTCAAATTTTGTTTTGTTTCACACTGTGACTGGAGCCCGGGAAATAGAATAATATAATATCAAAAATTGCCTGAAACATCGAAACTCTGTGCACATATATATGGAAGGGTCTTTGCACTACAGAATGCAGGAAACAAACGAAATTAATAGCAAACTCTCAAAATTTCCTGAAAATTGCCTGATAGTCAGTTGATGAAAATCGAAACCCCATTCCATTTACAGAACAGACATTTCTCTACAAAATTAATTAAGAAAGACTCTATAGATAGCTCTACCGATTTCTGAGGAAAAAATGTCAACTCCAGCATGCATGAATGAACTAGTGACTTGATTGAAACGAAAATGGAAAAACCTGACTGGATTTTTTTCAAGTTTCACATTAACGTACAAACGGGGCCCATTAAATCGCAATTTTCGTACGATTTCGTGGAACCACTGAATGGCCCAGCATGCAGAATCGAACCTTTGAGTCCATTGTTGGTGATAGTGCTTAATAGAAGCAAATTCATCCCGCGCCAATAAATTATTCGGGTGGCAGTTTGCGGCCAAATAGAACCCATTCAAGAATGGTACAAGTGTGAGCCTGGCAGCGAAAAAGTCACTACAACAAAACGGAATTTATGCGACCTCATAATGGTCGATAAAGGCACTCGAAATTATGAACTTACTATTCTTCGTAGAATGGAGCCATCATCATAAACTAAATATATAAGGCCATTCATTCATCGAGTGGATTCTATTGAGTTTGATCGGTGAAAAGCGCAGCGAGAAACGCCAAAAAATTGGTAATAAATGGTTTTTACAAAAGGCATTGTACGCGGGCGGGTGAGCGCGCTGGACCTAAACTCCTATGGGAATATGCAAGTCATTAATCTTCATTTGTTATCGGCCACTTCAACTGTTTAGCTTATTGTCTGCTTATTATAATAATGTCTCTATTAAATTCTGCATTCTTGAAGAAGGTCTCCGGATTGAAACGCACTTTCACACCAGCCTCCGCATAGCGGAAAAATCGCATCCCAGTGCAACTCAACGAGCGCAAAAAGCAGTTGTTGCAAAAGAAGCAATTTCAATGTAAGAGCGCCACTCGAATGAAACTTTTCAGCTTCTAATTAGTGTGAAAATCGTAGCAGGAAATAAGCAAATTTAAATTCAAAATGGATTCCCAGATGCCATACCGACGCTGCTGGAATCGTTAAGACTGTTAGGAGCACTTGAATCTAGATCAGTTGAGCGAGAAGGAAAAACTGATAATTAAGGTGACAACCGGCCTTAATGGGAAATAATAAAACACTTTTCAGAAAAGCAATTTGTAGCATTAATTAAAAAATTAACATTTAGATTATTAATAGATCATTTAGATAGATTAATAGGCATTCTTGGCATAGCGATAAATTACTGCCAGGTAGCTACCAATCCTCCGGCCCTATTTTTCCGTTTGCTCGCTCAGCTATTTAACAACAAAGTACCAAACCATCCCAATGGAATATGAATTTACATTGAGTTAACCGAAACCAATTAATTCGCCACATTTTCGAGAACCCGCTCTGCATTGGGAGCAAAACACTGACGAAATTGGTACCATTAATTTGCTTGAAAATTGCCGCAATTAAAATCTACTCCAATAATTAATTATTTGCCATTATGGAGCGGGCATGGGCGCAAAAACTGGAGCTACCGGGCCGGGAGCAAGAACTCGACCAACTGAGACGAACAACCAAACCAGAGATAACAACCAATTAAAAGCCATGTTGTATATTGAATAATAATTACATACGGCCGTTTAGCGATCGGTAGCCAAGCCCAAATAGTCAGCCGGCATGTGCAATCTTCACATCTGTCTAACAGAAAAGAGCACTCAAAGAAAAACAAAAAAAAATAAATCACAGATCAGGAGAAAGACTGGGAAAGCCAAGGAAAAAGACGCAGTAGAATGTCCCGAAATGGAGATATTACAAGCCAAATATACACAAAAGAGTAAGGGAGGCAACTGAAACCTTTTAGAAGCGGCAAGTGATGAGCATTACAGACATCAACAACAGATGGAAATCATATATGGAAACATTTTGTGAAGATCAAAGCCTGGAAGTTAATTATTCACTATCAGAAGATGCAATTAAACCTGGGCTATTAGGACAGCGGCACAGACGCGATGAGTTATAAAGAAAAATACAAAACCGCCCAAAATCTTTCCGAAGGTTGAACATTTCTTGGGAAAGAATCAATGGATTAAGTCGAACCACATTTACACTATCAATAAGCCGATGCTAATTGTATTAAATACTAAAATCCAAATTTCAATATCTGAAGCGCTTTTTTCGCGAAAAGCTTCAGATGAGCTTAATATAAAAATTTACTACGACAAAACCGATAGCTCAATCGATACGAAATCCACCCTACGAGTCAGTTGATGAATATGGAACTTAAAAAAACTTAAAGCTCTACATGTACATACATGGCAACCAGGGGAAAGTGATCTAAACTTACCTGAAGCTGCGCAGCGTCACCTGGAAAGAAAGAAGAAAATGCGTTTAGTACAGCAGGAAATCTTATGCAAAGCCAAACTTATGTGAAATCAGTAAAAGAGGGAGAAATATAACGAATTCATAAAACTAAACTCAGTTTAGGGCAAAAGAGTCATAGATTAGAGAGCATTCTTACCAGCTTTTTGCAAGCTGGCGCCCCCTCCTCCATTTTCTATGCGATAATCATTGGCTTGTTCGCCCTTTCGATGATTTTGTTTGTTTATTGTTCACACTTTTGTAGACAGTGCCTTTTTTCCAAAGGCAAATTTCACGTTTCAACTTAACGAAAGTCAACAGCAACTAAACCGGAAAAGCTACAAGTGCCGATCTTTCACTGACTTAGAGCCATTTATATTTGTCTAAATTTCATTCAGCTGCTGACATTCAAGCACAACGCCAAAACTGAAATTAATAACCGAATTAATTTCGTTTCCCTAAAAATATTGACCAATCGACAAAACCGCGCGGAAATCAATTAAAAATGAAACTGCTGCTCAATTTCCGAGCGATGAAAGAAACTCATTAAAATTGTCCTTTAAAAGTCCACGTCGTACGACGACGGACGAATTGACAGTTCTCCAACCAATAGAAACACTTTCGTACCATCGTATCATCGTACAAACGGATGCAAGGAACGCGGGCTTTATTCGGCCACAAGCGCAATTCGGTACGGCGCAGTGAGACGCGATGAGTTATAACTCATTAAGTCACAGTGATACAATGAGTCACATACACTGATCCCCATCCATATTTAACATTAAAGGAAATTAAAAAGTTTTAGACTAGAAGCATTTGGCACCGGACTAAGAAAATTCAGAGCAATTCTTGGACCAACGTGATCCATTAGCAGAAAAGGCTGCTACTAAAAGCCGAAAGAATTGGGTGTGTCTCAGATAACGACGACGGCTTTAAATAAATTAAAGAAGTCACCTGCAATTTGTGAAATTATTTCTAAGAACTTCACTGGTGCGCTCGCTTTTCCCTTTACGTCGCCCATTATCCTTCCTTTTCTTGCCCTTAATGGTTCGCTGCAACTACGAATTCATTTAATTAGTTTTATCGAGTTTCGAAATTATTTAGAGAGTATTGGGTGTTGAAAGCGTTATTAAACAACGGGAACAGCCCTCAAACCGATAAGAAATCTGCATGCTTCCAGCTTGGGTGTAGCGATTAAATTGCGAGCAGTTTACATGCACGGTTTATTAAATTACGGACACAAAAGCCATTGGAATCCGCATCTGGCCGCCTTAATTACCGTCAATCAAAGCGCGATTAATTACTTAGTTGCAAGCAACTCATCTTCAATATAACGAGCACAAATATTGCGATCCTCATTCGAATTATAATTAGCTTAACTTAACATAAAACGGAATTCGAATCGACTGACAACTCTTTACTTAGTTACCTCGCTTAAATCCACTCAGCAACCAATTACTTGCAATTTATTGGTGACGTATCGGCTGAATTAAGCGCAAATAATACAAGACTAATTGAACGTATCTCTGTCACTAATAGTTCTGCGCTGACTTTGCTTTATAATGTTACTTGGGCCAATCGGACTCTGGTTATGTAGAGCGATTGATTGGGGCTATTAAAGAACGAACCAATGAAAAGCGGAAAAACTGCTGAAGGTTCTAAGCGGCAAACTGGAAACCGAGTTAGGAAATGTTTGGTGGGTTAAGAATCTGCTGCAGATGAGGCAGAGCATCTGCATTTGATAGAACAGGAAATACAGGTTCGGAAGCATTTGATCATCCTACAAAACTTCTGAGGCCTTCGGCCTCCTCTGAGCACCAGTTAGGCAAACATTTTCTACCATCAATTATGTGTAAATTGAACCCGTTGAGCTCCTGGACTATTCCGAAGCAATTCTGATCGACATTGACGATGAACGAACCGTCGATCGTTCGATGCGATGTTGCAGACAAATCTATTGTTTTGAGTCCTTAACCAAACTCATAAATAAAGGGATCTTTACTTAAATTGACATTTATGTGAGGCAACGGATTCTACCCTGTTACGGCCGTAAATCAGTTTGACGTCGCCTGCATTCGTAATGTCCATTCGAAGAAGATCGGATCTGCATCATTCGACCAGTTGTTTGTTGCCCGATACGTAATTGGGAGGAAACGCGTGATTTTGCGAAAAAACGCGAAGCGACTAGTGGCTTTTGATGGGTTTTTCACCAATTTTGGGGACAATAAGCAGATTTTCCATCTTTTCGCCCGTTGTCGGTCGTACAACAAAAGCTGAAAGCAGCAGGGGGTTGCGCGCGTTTTCCATCTCGCCTGGAATAAACTACAAATGCTCGCTCCCGATGGTAGGAAATTACAGGACTACTATCTTCCATTTTACGCCCCAAAATTTCTTATTCCAATTTCCTGTTCGCGTCTGTCAGTTGTTATGAGTCATTTTCTGATAAGGACTCGTAGCGCGACTATTATGCAATAGAACTATTACACAAAGCGCTTATCGCCCATTATATGTCATGCTGTGGGGAATTGGCGTTAGCAGCACTGTTTTCTCGCCTCGGTTGGCGAGACTGTGCCTTCATTTCACGCCATTCTCAGGTACCATTGTGTTGTTCCATCGATACTGCAACCGCTTTTATTTCAACATTTAAATGGCTCTGGCGGCCGGAACCGGACGCCCATTCACTCGATTGTCATTCTTTACTAATTTGTTATTGGCTCATTTTATGGAAATATTTAAAGAGTGGCTCAAACAATGTCGAAGACATCAATTCGTTGATGTGGAATTGTTCCAACAGCGGCTAACTTTCGCGTCTCAAGTGCGCCAGCATCAATCAAAGTCGGCCTGGGTAACACTGTGGATTTTCAGGTGTTCACACAGCGACACCGATACGGCTTGCCGTATTGATACAGCGACACGGTGCGCCACACTTTCTCAATGTTGGGAAATATTTTTTGGAAAAATTTAAATGTTCTCAAAATGTCTTAAATTGTGCAGCATTTTCAGCTCACGGACGCGAGGAATGCATCGAACTCATTCAAAAACATGCTGGAAGCTGCAGATCCGAAATAATAGATATTTTCGGCMCATTTTAAGCGTTTTTTGAGAGATTWCGATRTTYAGCCGACGATTTCTTCCTTATTATTGACCCAAACACCTTATAAATGCCTATTTRTGACCTTCTTTCGTCGAAAGGAATCGAGTGAGCTCAAAAAACACGCATGTGAAATTTTGATTTCTGGTAGATATTTTTTCAAAAAATATAAATKTTCTCAAAATGTMTYAAATTTTACATCATTTTCAGCCCAAGGACGCGATGAATGCATCGTAGTCATTAAAAAACATAGTAGAAGTTTCAGATCCAAAATAATAGAYATTTTCGGCATATTTTAAGCGTTTTTTGGGGGTTCACGCTCTTTTGCCGACGATTTCTTCCTTATTATTGACCCAAACACTATATAAATGCATATTTGTGACCTTTTTACGTCGAAAGGAATTGATTGAGCTCAAAAAACACGCATGTGAAATTTTGATTTTTGGGCGAAATTTTTCCAAGGGTGGAGGTCGATTTTTTGAAAAAATTAAAAATTCTTCCAACTGTTTTAAATTTTACGTCATTTTCAGCGCATAGACGCGAGGAATGCATCGGACTCACTAAAAAACATGTTAGAAATTTCAGATCCGAAATAATAGACATTTTTGGTACGTTTAAGCGTTTTTTGAGAGATTTCGATATTTAGCCGACGATTTCTTCCTTATTATTAACCCAAACACCTTATAAATCCATATTTGTGACCTTCTTACGTCGAAAGGAATCAATTGAGCTCAAAAAACGCATATGTGAAATTTTGATTTTTGGGCGAAATTTTTCCAAGGGTGGGGGTTGATTTTTTGAAAAAATCAAAATTTTCGCAAATCGTCTTAAATTTTACATTATTTTCATTTCACGGCCGCGAGGAATGCATCGTAATCATTGAAAACCATCGTAGAAGTTTCAGATCCGAGATAATATACATTTTCGGCACATTTAAGCGCTTTTTGAGCTTTCGCGATCTTTAGCCGACGATTTCTTCCTTATTATTAACCCAAACACCTTATAAATCCATATTTGTGACCTTCTTACGTCGAAAGGAATCGATTGACCTCAAAAAACACGCATGTGAAATTTTGATTTTTGGACGAAACTTTTCCAATGGTGGGGGTCGATTTTTCGAAAAAATGAAATTTTTTTCAAAATGTCGCAAATTTTACATCATTTTCAGCTCATAGACGCGAGGAATGCATCGAACTCATTAAAAACCATGCTAGAAGTTTCAGATCCGAAATAATAGACATTTTTGGCACATTTAAGCTCTTTTTGAGCTTTCGCGATGTTTATCTGACGATTTCCTCCTTATTATTGACCCAAACACTATATAAATGCATATTTGTGACCTTCTTACGTCGAAAGGAATCGATTGAGCTCAAAAAACACGCATGTGAAATTTTGATTTTTGGTCGAAATTTTTCCAAGGGTGGGGGTCAATTATTTTTTGAAAAAATGAAAATTTTCTCAAAATGTCTTAAATTTTAGATCATTTTCAGCGCATAGACGCGGGGAATGCATCGGACTCATTAAAAAACATGGTGAAACCTTCAGATCCGAAATACTAGACATTTTCGGCACATTTAAGCGCTTTTTGAGCTTTCGCGATATTTAGCCGACGATTTCTTCCTTATTATTGACCAAACACTATATAAATGCATATTTGTGACCTTCTTACGTCGAAAAGAATCGATTGAGCTCAAAAAGCACGCATGTGAAATTTTGATTTTTGGTCGAAATTTTTCCAAGAGTGGGAGTCGATTTTTGGAAAAAATGAACACTTTCTCAAAATGTCTTAAAATTTACATAATTTTCAGCTAACGGACGCGAGGAATGCATCGAACTCATTGAAAAACATTGCAAAAGTTGCAGATCCGAAATAATAGACATTTTCGGCACATTTAAGCGGTTTTCGAGCTTTCGC